TATATATATATATATATATATATATATATATATTCTTTCTTTCGCTGAATGAAATGATTTCTCCAAGAAAATCACAAAATTTTCAATTCTAAATACATGCAGTCCTCGTCGCGCGCTAAAATAAAACACGCAGACCAGAGTTCAGATAGAACCTTCTTGCACAACTGTGTGTCTAATTTGTTAGCATTTTGTACGAGCACCGTGGCATCGTGCACGGTGTCGCATGTGGTATTACAGGTAGCTATGTTCAGTGAGTCAACAGCGTAAATATAGCACTTCGTATTGACGTGTTACGTCAACCAACAACAACAACCGAGATATAGCTTCGCTATGGAAAATTATAACAAACGAAAAACTCGGTTATTAACATCATGAGATGAGGCCACGCAAAGTTTCGGTCCTCTTTTCATCTAGATGGGCAGCCTGAACGACAGCTTCGAACATTTCCGTGTTGTTGTGAAGCACCTTGAGTATATGTTGTAGCCGTTGAGCAACTGCGGTACCTTCATCAGTTTGTGGGAACGCTTCGAGTAAAAATGCTGACACAACTGAAATTAGACATACCCTATGCTTAAGTGAACGGATGAAAATATGCAGATCGAAGGAAACAGTTCGAAATGGATAGAATTCTCAGCAAAAAACTTCCTACTATGCATTAAATGGCGAAATTCAAGATTCTGCAAAAGCAGGGAGAAAGGAGAAAAACTTACTGATAAAAACGATTCGTGGCAGATTGCTGTTGTTATCACCTAATACAGCGGGATGATTAGATTCAATAAGGTCAGCAAGATAACCATAGATATGAGGGGCTTCTGTTACATCTTCATGTGTAGGCAACCAGGATAAGAAAGCGGGGACTACCTGGAATGTTTGCTCTTTTCCAACAAGAAAATATTGTTCTGGAAGTTAAAAAAGCGAAGAGTTAGAGCTCTCTGAGTACTGAAAATTAACTGACACTTTCATCTGTCAATCATTTTAGCACTCTCTATAATCCACATACTCGCTTTTTCCGATCAATAGATTTTATTCATATTTGTTGATCATTAGAAGAAGACTTTGTACAAATATTTTCAGTTAACTTTACGGTACATGATCTTATTGAGTGAAAAACTAATAAAGTCACAAATGAGCTCCCGCAAACTTTCAAAAAACGATAGTAAAACATTTGTAATCTACCTACCTGTGTGATATCAATGTTGGCACCGGAATATTTCAATATTTTCGCTACTGCCGCGATACCGTTGTCGGTAGCACCAGAACTCTCCTCTGTAAGACGGGCTTCCGGGCTACAACAATGCGAATAGAGATATTTTCAGTGCGGCTTCATAAAATGACATTTCTGCTCTGCTCAACGCACCTGTTCACCATAGCAGCAAGCGGCTCAAGGGCAGTAGTGACTGTGTTCAAGTACTCTGCTCCGCCAACCATCCCCATCACACCAAACCCGTATGCAGCTGCTTGACGAACCTCCGGATAATCGTCCGCAAGGCATTTGAGCATAAGAGGAACAAACTGATCTTGATATCGTGCACATCTCTACAAGCCATCAAGTGTAATCTATGTTACCGATCTTGTATGGGAGTTTGCCACTAGCTTTGGATTGAGTTGACCTCAAAAAACTCTACAATACAACTTTGTCTGCAAAGAATGAAGATCTTCTTTTGCAGAATAAAGAGATATTTGGCGAGCCTCATAAAGATAGAAAATTGCAAACTCACTCTTGGTGCAAATTCGATGCAGTCATCGATATAGCAAACACCATACTGACGTGAAGGATAGGCTCGATGAAAATCAATCAACTGCACAAAACTGGGTAACAATGGCTCCACACAATCAAAGAATGCTTCACCAAACGTCTGAAGAAGGAGGCATGCTCTCAAGCCCATGTAGACTGTACAAACTATTAAGTGGAATAAGCACATAAAACGCACTTCAAACATGTTATGGATAAGATCAGAGATGCGAGCAAGAACTTCGCCTTCCATTTCCGCTTCGTCTGTAAGTTTTTCCCTTAAGTCGTCCACATCGGCGTCCTAAAAGAAAGAAGGTTATATAGGAAAAAATAATGAGGGAAGCAATCATTCACAGATTTTGTTCTTATATATGTGACAAAGTTAACAGTTAATAATTAGCATGCACCCATCCATTTCAAATCCATAAAATTATCACTACTGACTATTCATATCACATGTTAACTTCCGCACAAAGGTATCATGCTTGGCTTAAACTTTTTAAAATATATGGACTCTCTACCAATGAAAAAGGAATCTTACCTCCTCAACTTCTTCAGCCTCAGCCTCTAAGCGTCTTTCTTCGTGCGCCTTCAACTGATCAGAGATTACAGCGGTGATCTTCTCCACATCTTCCTTAGTAAGACCCTAAGCAGAATGATTTTAATATGATTTAAAACGATTAATTTATGGTCTCAATTATAACAACAAGAAAAACCTCACTCCTAACAAACCACAAAAAAGTGAAACGTACTCCTGCACCGAGTTGTAGAAC